GTTTATTATCTTACCCTTATTGCCCAAAGTAACACTTCCCTTTCCAAATCAGATGGTAATCAAAATATAAAATGGAAAAATCTCTCAGTCTGTCAAGACTCAGTTCAACTTTCAGGATTTTTTTGTTTGTTTGTTTTGTAGTAAGTACTATCAGACCAAAGGAAAGAAAACAATAACAGACCCACAGATTTTGATGAGAGAAGATTACATCAGATAATTGTAGGTGAACAACAGGGTATTTCAACCATTCTAAAAAATTTATTTACACACAGTAAGATTACAGATAATCTATACTAGGTTATCTCAAAGTGTAAAAAGCATCCTGGAATGCTTTTACCTTCCACCCCCTAAAAAAGAACACCAAGTCAAACAAAACTGGATATATATTGTATACAACATCTCCCCTGTTAGATAGTCACAATGTGCATCAGAGTAAAAGTTAATCTGTAAATAAGCCAACTAATCACAATCTATCATGTTTAAATTAGACTTAAGACTTCCTATTTAACTGTGTATTCCCAAAGAATGCATTTGGGAAATGCTTATTGGTACATTCTAATAATACCCATAAAGGATTTCATTCCCTAGGAATAAAAATTAAAGTTATTTTTCACCAGCATTGCTATGCTATGAAGTAATGGTAATGACCATTTTGTTGCTGCATATTGGAGCAAAAGTCATTAACATATATCTGAGATACCATTCATAAAAACTGAATATATATTCCTGAAATGGTTTCTATAACAGAGAACTACAAATTTCCTGTTCATACTTTAGCTGGTCTAATAACAAAAGCAATACGTTATCTTGAAAATAAGTTGTGTATTCATTTTTATCTAAAACATGTGGATAGGTTAAATTTACAATATTTTATAATATATTCAAGATCTATTTAGTAAAATGCATAAAATTTATGCATGTGGATATTTCTGTGTGAATAACAAAAAAATATGCTTAGTCGTTAAATAAAAAACTTTTGTTATCTGACCCCAATGAGGATATTTAAAACAAAAAACTGTTTAAAAACACATTTACACAAAAATAAGCCTGTATGAAAGTTAAACCAGTTCATGACTAATTTTTCAGATTCTAAATTTAAAAATAACTATATCAAAAACGTTTTAATTACTATACATTGGAGTGTGACGAATATAGTTTACTGGTTATTAAATAAAATTATTACACTCAGCAAGTGGAATAAAATTGACACACACAACTTGTACATGCAGGGAAAATACAACTTAATGTAAACAGATGGTTTTCAGCACATTCCTTTACTAGAATGTGGACACCTGCCACAAAGTACACAAGCTCATGCACAAGATCAAGACGTTACATACAGCTGAGATCACAACGTCATGCATAGTACAACAGCGTGCTAGATTATCGTACCACAAACTGTGCAGATGTTCTCCCCCACCCCATGAGCCACTGCCAGCAGCTGCTGTAGAGTTTGGTTACCCATATCCGTGACATGAACGGTGTCCTTTGGAGAATCTTGTTCCCTGTGGCTGTAAGTATTCTTATTTTTATAATATTTTAATGATGCTCGCTATGAAAAATGTTAAGTACAATACTGGAAATTATGGAAAAGCAGACTTTTTACAATACTAGGCAATTATACACATCTTATCTCAGGTACTTGCAATAAACATCACATATTTAAACATATCATCAAAAATAATTTACTGCTCAGAGTTAAATGAACCCAAAATATGTCTGATGACAGTGCTCCAGTAAGTGGGGAAAAGGACAACAAAATACAATCTCGAAAAAGTACCACCTAATTTTGAGCACTCAAACAACACGGCAAGAGTCATTTTAAAGTCTGGTTAAAGTATGACTCATAGAGATAAGTGCTATATAAGAACATTTATTAGGCTAGCTCTTTCACTTACATGATTTCAATTTTGAAGACGTGACTTGGTAAACAATTAGCCAAGTTTACATTATTTATGTTAGTCAATGAAAGAAATACAGAATATAGTCATTGAAATACCTCCCCTCATTTCTCTGAACCTATTAAGTATATAGCAATGTCCTTTTTTCCCTAAATATTTCCTAAGTGTATTCTGATAAAGACAGCATTCTCTTTTGCTATTATGTAACACCTACAAAATTACATGTTCATAAAAGCACAGAATCAGAATTTTGGAACCATGAGATATGTTGAGTGGCTCAGCTCTATGCCTCTTGACAGTATTATATGGCCCTTTTAGAAAGGTAAATTCAGTGCTTCTGGAATGTTCCAGAGTATCTTTAAATCAGGCCAGGGAGTGAAAAAAAAAAAAAAAAAAGAGAAGAAAATACAGCCAACTCTCAATAACAATGGAAGGTAGGATAGATAAGTAAAATTTGAAGATGTAAACATCTTATTTTAATAACTTGAATCCCCTCTCTTAACAAACATTTGGCTTGTAATTTTAAAAAAATTTATGTCAGATATAAAAAGAACTTGAATTATAGCTCTTTTCTCTGCCCCCTCTCCAAACACTCTAGAGGAGGTACTAACAAGAACTGTATAGTCTGATATTTGTAGCTGCAAAGATTAAAACCTATTTTTACATTTAGCTTTTCCCAATTAGATATTTGAACCTATACATATATTAGTAAATGAGGATCCATGTATATTTTCATCTTTGTGTAAAAATGATTGCTTTATAATTTGTTTAAAAATTGGCATTCTTTCAGCAAGGAATGACTACTTACCATAATCAGTATCAGTAGCTACATCCAACTTTTCTGATTTTGTAACAATCTACAACTTAGTACTTACCAGGTTACATTTCCCTTAGAATGTAACATTTAAAAGTGATATGAACTGAAGATGACAGTTTTTACTCAACAGCAAAATAATTTATGACAGGAGCCAGCACGCCTTAATCAGATGGGCATAAGACTGGGGCTGACAACAGCTGCCTCTCCTGATTCTTACGTACTGTACAGTAAAACACTGTACCATTCTGCCTCAGTTTTACTCCAGCAATCATCATTCAATTACCTCAAAAGACTGATGCAAAATATATACCTTTATTATGATCATGATCATTGAGACAGGTCTCACTCTCACAGCTTACTGCACTCTTGACCTCTGGGGCTACGTATCTTTATTACGATTATCATCGAGACAGGGCCTATCTCACAGCTTACTGCACACTTGACTGCTGGGGCTCAAGTGATCCTCCTACCTCAGCCTCCCGAGTAGCTGGGACCACAGGCATGCACCACAATGCTAGCTAATTTTTTATTTTATGTGGTGACAGGACCTCTCTATATTGCCCAGGCTGGTCTCAAACTCTTATGCTCAAGTGATCTGCCCACCCCAGCCTCCTAGAGTGCTGGGATTATAGGCGTGAGCCATCAGATCTGGCCTGCAACATAATCATCATATGAACTGTTTTAATTAGCAACAAATAATATTTAAGTCTAAATAAAGAATTAAGAATAAAAAGTCTCTAAAAGTATGCCATATTTGAATATGTATGTGGAACAGAATCTCTTGTAAGAGCAGGTATGCCACAGTGCAAGATCAAAAAAATGACATTCTTATGTTGCCATATGTTTACATGGAAGATTACTGGGACTTGACCAAAAACAGGCGAAAACAAGTATATTTTATAATAAAAGACATAAGAAAATATGTGTGATAAGGGGACAAGTAATGACATTTAAATTTATGGTAAATAGTTTATCCATTTATTTGCCTTTCTGAGAATGATCGTTAGATTCTAAAAAGCAATATTATATTATTGGTAAATGTGTAATTTGAACTTCGTAGAAATCATTCTAATTTCATTAATGTATCAGTTTGCTATTCATTGACAGTTATACCTCTTTAAATAGTGATGAAAGGAAAGAAACACCTGAATTTAAATATTATACCTGGCTTTACAATATATATACTTTGCTATATTTCTGATACATAACTGATAAGAAGGATAACAGTAAATCTTTGCAATGGGATTTTATTTTAAATTTATGTACCATAAAAATTTAACAAAAAAAAACAATATATAATAAGTAAAAATCAATTGATTAAAAAATGATATCATTGGTATTATGATATGCATACTTACAAAATTGGTATTTTTGTTTAAGACTCAAATATTTTACATAGGAGAAACATTTCCCTAATTGTAACAGAAGTTAAGGTAACTTTAGAAAATATTTGGCTACATGATTTAAACTGTCCTTAATACCGTGACAACAAATAAAAAGAAAGTTGGTTTTGAAAATTAGGTAAATTAAAATAATGCTGCCAATTAAATTTTTCTACAAAAGAATAATGCACCCAAAAGTAGTAGTTCTGTCTGCTGTATAATTTTGACTTAGATTTCTAAGAATAAATCTGTAAACATTTAAACATTTTCCAGGACATAGTAAAATAAGAAGAGGGGAAAAAAAAAAATCAGTGAAAAAGTTGTTTTTACATTTTGATCAGTATTACATGTTATGTTAAGAAATAATTAAATAATTAATACAAAATTCTTTAATTTTATAACAGAACCTATAAATAGTTCCTGTGTCAACATGGACTTATACTGTTAAAGGCATTATTTGAAGACATCGTTTTGATTTGTCAGAAACTAGAACAACATCCTCAGTGATTACCTTTGATAAAAGTAACATCACTACTAATGAAAAACAATAAACAGAAAAAACTGCTACAGATAAAACCTGATGAACACTGTTCTTATTATCAAATTTTTGTGCTCTCTACTTATAATATACTAATATTGTAATCAGGTCAGTAGAGGTCTGAACATATATTATGGATGTTGCTATACAAAGTGAGCAGGTAGAAAGGCTAGAACGTGACATGGTAAGGTGAAGAAAAATGACTATATCACATAGCAATACTTTAAAATACTGGTTTTCTCAGTGATTAAAAAAGCATGTTCAATGACTTGTTATTTTCCCTGCTAGTTTATCATACTGGAAAGCTGCAGCAAGATAGTAATAAAGTTCACTGTATACAAATATTCAAGTTCTTCACTAACCTCATCTGGGTTGGCATTAAAGGTGAGGCTGCCTTCATCCAGCTGCATATACAATTTTCTAAAAGAAAATCCTAAAGGTGGGTTCTTATTGTATATAGAACAGTGACCCCAAGTGGATTTGCACAACCTGTTAAATCAGAAAATGAGACAAGAAAATATTACTATATTTAATTTCCTAAGTTAAACATGCAAACACATGAAAAAATGGTAACAGGAAATAATATAAAATTGAATTTTATAGCTCTAAAGTTTAAAATTTTAAGTTTGTACTTGTTTTCTATTTGTTTACTAGAGTATGATTGATGCCTTAAATTTGGCAACTTTGACAGCATCTAATAAATGTGAAATACAAAGATTAATACTATTCATGAGTACTATCTGAAGTTAAATATAAACTTCATAATAATAGTAACAATAGCTAACATTTACTGAGTACTTACTAGATGTCAGACGCTATTTTAAGTATTTTAATTATATTAGTTTGCCTAATCTTCACAACAATCCTATGATGTTGGTGGTACAGATAAGAAACACAGAGACAAAACAGTTGCCCAAGATCATATGACTAATATGTATAGATGCAGGACTTCAACCCAATGAGTCTTAATCCAGAGCTTGCAATATTAACCAAGAATCTGAATAGGATTTATTAAGTACTGTGTACACCACTGTGAAATAAAACTAAACGGGAGGAAAAGATTGCTGGGCAGGGAAACAACTTTTGTTTTTCAAACAATATACATGTTACAACAGACAAATTAAATATAGGAAGTGTTTTTAATGCCACAACTTCACTACATTCATCAAGCTGTGATGTTAAATATATCTGTTTTTAAGATACTGCTTCAAAAACATTGGTTCCTTACTATCAGAGTGATACATTATTGTTTAGAAATTCTGTAAAACCCAAAATACTAACAGTTCATATCTCAAAACACACTGCAGATTGGGATAGCTGTTTCTAACTCTTTACAGAGGCAATATCTACTGGTTATTTGAAAGCCAAAGTTTTATTATAATGCCTGAAAATTCTGGATATATGCCAAAGCTTAAATATAAATGTATTATTTTAGAGATAGAGAATACTGAAATTATATTGATACAATTATAATGAGTCTTTGTCTCAAAATTTTCTGATTTGTTGTATATTCAAAATCACCTGCTACTTGCTGAGACAAATGAAACTGTTTCTTCCTTCATTATTAATTTCTGCCTCAAATTTCCTTTTTTTTTTAAACACACAAAGTACAGGGCAACAAGAGAAAGTTACTGTCTGAGCACATAACATCAAAAATTGTGAGGACAAGGGGGGTCAAACATCTGAGTTAATATGAGAATATCCTATTAGCAGTTGATTTATACTACTGTATTATTTTTACCAACCAAGTAAAATCATTGACTCAAAACTGTAAGTATAAAAAATTATTTAGAATATTATCAATATTTTTTCAGTCTCTTTAATCCCAATATAACTCAAAACTAGAGTTTTAGTACTAAGTTATATGAAAACCAGAGGACTTCCCAACATCAAAGTATTCAACTTTGAATACACCCAAAGTTGAAATAAAAACTAAGCCAGTATTTAATTTCAAATAGAAGCAATTTATTACTAAGAAAGAAAATCCAATTATTATAAAAATAGGCATAATTATGGCAAACATTTCTTTCACAAATGAACAATTCAGATTTGAACCCCAAATGGAGAATACATTCTGACTGACTTCAGGTAAAAATAGAAATTAAACTTTTAAAAGAGTTCAAATCAAGAAACAGAAATAAAGTTACTGAGGAATACTAAAATGTAGAAGAGAGATTATAAAGAATAAGCCAGTTTAAAAGTACTTCCATTTCCTCTTATAATTACATAATTAAAAAATTAACTGTTATTTAAAGACTCCTTATTAATAGAATTTCCTCTCACTACATAGTAGTGTCATAGTTTTCACTATGACAAACGAATACAAGAATAACAAGATATAACTGTAGTTATTATTCTATTTTCTGTTGTCCACCTTTTCACAATATCAAATTTGACTGTGATGCTAACTGCATATTTTTCCAGGTTTTAATAAGGAGTAACTCCAAGTAAAAGCCCAAGTTTAAACAAAATATTCCATAATATATATTATAAAAAGAACATTTAAGCATGATGATGTTTAGAGATACCTGAATTCAACATTGGTCGGTTTAACTTACCCTTGCCAGAGAAGTTCATCATTCGCGAGGTCCTGCCAAACACATGAAGCCAAGCAAAGGTCAGTTGCATTCAGGTAGGACAAGATGGTAAAGCTTAGCTCAGGAGGCAACATTTCCAAATTAATGAATCCTTCCTGTTCTTTAGATTTCCTTGCCTTCAAAAGATGATATATGTCAATGCCTCCTTGGACTTGTTTACGATGACTGGTGTTAGAAATGTTGTTTGCAGCCATCCTCCTGCTCTGCTCTCTGGTGAGGTAGCCTTGCTCACTGTAGCCTTCTTGTTGTAGCTGCTGGTTTCTGACCACTCTCCACAGCCCTTGACCCATCTGCAAGCCTGGGAAAAAGCCAGAATGTAATAAGGGTAACGTTTTAAAAGTAACCCGTTTTCCCCAGTGGTATAACAAAATTGACATGAAGCATTCATTTATCAGAATTAAAACTCCTCATTAAAATCTATTAAAACCAGTAATATATTACAAAGAATAGTGGGAACATTAAAGTGCAAATTTTGATAGGCAAAGTTTCAGAACTACTTAGTTCGATCATCACCTTTACCCCAGTTTACTAACTACTTTTAAAGTCAATAGGTGACATAATCATTTTTCACGTGGTAAGATTTAAAAATTACTGATGTCCTTAATACTCTTACAAATTATAATTATGTGGACTTATGGGCTAGTATTAAATACAGCTCTGATTAGAGCACAGACTTTAGTTAAAAGGCCTCCAGACCCTGCTTTTTATCACAATTCAGTCTAAGCTAAGCTAGCCCCTTTTAACCAAACTCCCAGATGCGTAACAGCTGGGAAACAGGCTTTTAGTTTAATTCTTGCCAGTCTACACTTATGTTGTAGACTGTAATAAAATGTAACATAGGCCCTGAAGTCTAATTCAGAAACCTTATAAATTAGACACCTAGAAATCCATGATAAATAGCTCAGTAATAGTCGACTATTTCATTTTGTTGTTGCCTTAAATTAAAAATTAAAATTTACACGAATTTTCTAATTCTTCTTCACAAATCCCTACGGATTCTCAGAGGTTCCTGGGAAGAAGTACCAAAAGAAGGCATGCTCCTGTGCCTCCGCCACAATCTGACCTCCCACCACAGCATTTTACATTTGTCTGTAACATATATTGACTTCCTTGTATACAAATGTATTAGAAAATTCCTAGATCTAGATTCGGCATTGCCTTTAAATAGCTTTTCCGGGGCAAATGAAGTCATTGAGAACAACTAAATCAGAATTTTTAACAAACACAAATAATTACTTTCATGATCTCTTTTTCAAGCAAAATATTTTTGTTTTATCAACTCAAGTTGACTACTAATACCTGTGGGTGTTTCAAAAACTTGGAAAAGATACTGACTTTCTCATAAAATCATTAAAATAGTCAAACAATTTTTATAGCATGATCTGAACTTCAACTATGGTGGTGTTTTAATTAACTGTTTAAAATAAAGACTAACAAAAACAAAGGCAAAAACCCCAAAAGACAAAAAGCAACCCAACCCAACTATTATAAAATAAGAAATAATTTGAAAATTGAGTGGAACTTCAAAGAATGTCAAAGATACTATTATTTTAGTATTCAAAAAGGTATAATTCATGAATTTATTGACTAAATCATTGGCTATTGTTTGGGTAATGGCCACTAAATTAGGTCATCTGTTGATTTAAACAGAAAAAATAGTCTGGGATAATTTTTAACCCCACCTGAAATTGCACTTCTTGGAATCCCAGCAGCTTAAACTATAAAGGTATGGCGGGGAGTTACAAAGAGAAGAAAGACATTAATAATTTTAAAATGTGGGAATATTTGTTTTTGAAAAGAAGGCACAAAAGATAACCTTTCTCTCCCTACTACACATACCCACCATGGTATTTCTTCCTAAATCAGTGGTTAAGCTATACAGATAAAATTCTTTAAAAAACACAGACTATCAAGAAAATAAAAAGACAAGCCACAGACCAGGAAAAATGTTTGCAAAACACATATAAGATAAATGAACTTGATATCCAAAATATGCAAAGAACACTTAAACCTCAGCAATAAGAATATAATCCACTTTAAAAAATAATCAAAAGATCTGAATAGATACTTCACCAAAAAAAATATACAAAGGGCAAATAAGCATATGAAAAGAGGTTCAACATGATATGTTATGAGGCAATTGAAAATAAAATGACAATGAGGTACTACTACACACCCATGAAAAGAGTATATCCAAACCAGTGACGATACCAAATGCTGGCAAGGATGTAGGAATGCAAATGATACAGCCACTTTAGAAGACAGGTAGTTTCTTTAAAAATTATACATACTTTATATGATTCAGCATTAGCACTCCACGGCATTTACCTAAATAAGATGAAAGCTTATATTCACACAAAAGTCTACATGTGAACGTTTAAAGCAGGTTTAGTAATTAATTTTCAAAACTTGTAAGCAACTATGATGTTCTTCATCATGTGAATGTGTAAATTAGCTGTGGTACAGTATATCTACACAGTGGAAAACTAGCACTAAACAGAAATGAGCTAAGCAATGAAAAGACATGAAGGAAATGTAAGTGCCTATTATTAATGTTAAATAAAAGAAGGAAACCTAAAAATGTTCTTTACTGTATGATTCTAAGACATTCTGGAAAAGGCAGAACTATGAATATAGTAGAAATGATTATGTACAAAAAATAGAGAATGTCAACAAAAATCTATAAGTTTTGTACTTTGTTTAATGTTTAAATGTGCCATGTCACAGTACAACATAAGTACAACTTAATTTGGACACATATTGAACATTTTAAGTCTACTAATCATCAAGAAAAGTATTTTATTTTCACCATGGCTATTCTTCTGTTTAACTCAACAAGAAAATATCTAGAAATCATGTTAACTGCTAGGCTCACCCAGCACAGCTGTTAAATAATTAAATTTATTCTTCTCTTTTGTTTTTGTACCACCAAAAGTAAATTATCAAACATGGTAACTGCAGTATCTGAAGTCTCAATATTTAAAGCATTTATTAACAACTTCAGTCTACTTTCCTACAGAATCTTTCTAGTGGCATATGGTTAAGCAGCTGCTGCTACTCTTAGGCCTGTTGCTAGGAAACAAAGATTCAGGGTGATTTCCCTAGGCTCTGGACTTTAATGGGGATCACTTAAACTGAGCACTGGATAATATGACTCAGAAAGCATCCAGCAGGTAGAAAGAGGTAAAGCCAGCAGCTGGTTCTTTATAATAATGGTAATAATAATAATAATAGTGGGGAAGTTGGAGGGTTGAGGCTTATGTATAGATAGAGAAAAAAACTGCAAGATTATACCTCATTTTTTGTATTCCTACTGCTAAACCATACTGCAAATTGTCCCCTTGGGACTTTCGTTTCCCTTTAAAGCAGTTATTGATCCTGGGTAAAAACACAGTAATGATAAAGCACTCTGAGAAAGAGTAACATCATGAGTTTAGCATTTGGAGAAAGAAAAGGGAGTCTGTAGTGTTCTGTTCCCATTCCCTATCTTTCTTAGGATAATAGGGAGTGAAACATGGATGTAACTGTCAGAAAAGTGATAAAACTCTCAAAATGACATGACATCTATTGTGTAAATGAAGCAAGTCATGGAGGGAGTACAGTAGTATGGGTCTAGAAGTCAGACAGACCTGAGTTTAAATCCTGACTTTATTAGTTATTACTTACAGAACTGTGGGGAAGTTACTTGACTATTCTGAGCTTTAGTTTCTTCATGTACAATGTAAAAAAAAAAAAATAATAATATCTACAGTTCAAAAGCTGTTGTGTTAAATAAGATAATCTACATAAAATTCATTTTATGGCTAACAGTCAATACACATTAGATATTACTTTGACAAGCATGTTTTATCAAGTGAAAATAAGCACTTGATAAAACTTATTTGATGATACTTCAACTGCTCTGATGTCCTGCCTGTTAAAAAAGCTTATTTGCTCATGTTGCTACTTGTACAGCTTTGTAGGGCCTCTACAAACAATTCACCTCCTTTCGTTATTTCATATTTTGATCATGTTTTTATGTTTTTTTCTTCTTGTAAATGTAATTCTTTTATATCAATGACCCAGGAAAAACAACAAAAAATTCTAAAATACAAAAAAGGCTGTGTTATTATTCACAAAAAATTTTAAAACTCAGCATCCCTGAGAATGGTGCTAACAGTGGTGTCATGAAATAGGTCCTCATGTTATTGTTAATAATCCATCACAATGTGGCTAGGCATGGTGACTCATGCCTGTAATGCCAGCACTTTGAGAGGCTAAGTAAGAGGACTGCTTGAGACCAAGAGTTTAAGACCAGACTGGGCAACACAGACCCCATTTCTACAGAATACAAGTTAGCTAGGTGCGATGGTGCATGCCTGTAGTCCTGACCACTCAGGAGTCTGAGGGAGGAGGATCACTTGAGCTCAAGAGTTTGAGGTTACAGTAAGCTATGATCACAACACTGCACTCCAGCCTGAGTGACAGAGTGAGACCTTGTCTCTAAAAAAAATTAAAACTAAAATTAACAAATAAAAGAAAATCCGTCAATGCTAGCTCTAAAGGAGATGCAGAATGTGAGGCAGTTTCATGCTGGGTCTGTTTAGACTGAACAAATTAAAACTTAATTTTAAAGTATAAAGTCTTTAGCTTTGTCTTACAGTTTTAATAATATCTTGGTATAAAGATTTAAAATTGAAATACAATATTATAAAAGATATAGTACTGTCCTGCCACTTGCAGAAATTGTTTGGTAAAAAAAAAATTCAGCTGCAATGTGAAATCACTGACTACGTAAAAAATTTCAGATTGAAAAAAAAAAAACAACACAAAAGAAGTTTATGTATTTGAAATCACTAGTTTTGGTGTAAATATGGATTCTGTGATGAAACTACAGCTTTATTTGTTCACTCAAAATAGGTAGAGAAAACAGGTATTTCTTTCTTTGAAAAAACATTTACTCTTCTAAGAACATAATTAGTCTATGTTAGTCTACCTCTTATAGAAATAAAAGAAATCCAGTTGCATCTTGTTATTCATGGCAATTATGTTCTATAATGTTTCTGCAAATACCGAATTAGCAATACTGAACCACTGTTCCTAGGAAATTTTGGGGTTACTGTAAGCCTGTGGTCACAATATTTTCATTAACTGATCAATACACAACCTTGTTTTATGTGTGTTTCTGCTGAAGGACATTTAATACATACTGTTAATTCATTAACCATGAACTCAGCGGCACTATAACTCAGGCTCGAATGAGGTTTATCTAACATGTACTTTCTCCATAAGGCACAATACTCAGGAAAACTAGACAACACTTCTGCACTATGCTTAGGGGCCGTTTTAAAGAATAAAATCACTAAGAAAAAGCACAAAAATGTGGAAAATGTGGTATTACATAAGCCACAAAAAAGACACTTGTTAATAATGAGAGCTAAGGTAAGAAGGCAGAGCCTTGCCTTTAATTTCAGCTGTGAATGTGCACCTTGAACAACACATATTTTTCAGGTCTTGTGCATGCTTGCTAAAGACTGCAAAAGCACCAGGAGTACTGTTTTGGGAGATACAAATAAATGTCAGTGAGTAGGCAAATTCACAAAATAATAATGAGAATTAACTGTAAATTAATATGACTCAAGATGTTCCCTGCCTTTTCTTCCAAATTTGAATTTATTTTGTTCAAAGCTTCTTTATCATGTTGAGAGGATCTATAAAATTCTTTCTAAGGAGCTTCAAAATGAAACCAAACATATTTTTTCCTGGTCTACAAAGTAGAAACAGAACTTCATTATTTAGCATCTGAAAGAAGCAAACCAAAATTTCATAATTACTTAGGTCACAGAAGAATTATGCTACCAAAAAATTATCTATAAGATTTCAAAGTTGAAACTCTTCCTTACAGAGGAGACCAAAAACAAACAAACATGGGGGGGAAAACCCCAAAGAAACCATATTCTACATTTTCTCCTATTTGTCAGAATGGTAATGAAATGTGGCAGGTGCAGTGGCTCACGCCTGTAATCCCAGCACTTTGGGGGGCCAAGGTGGGCAGATCACTTGAGGTCAGGCATTCCAGACTGGCCTGTCCAACATGGCGAAACCGCGTCTCTACTAAAAATACCAAAATTAGCTGAGCATTGTGACACATACCTGTAATCTCTGGTACTTGGAAGGCTATGGCTGGAGAATCATTTGAACCCGGGAGGCAGAGGTTGCAGTGAGCTGAGAAGGTGCCACTGCACTCCAGCCTGGGCAACGGAATAAGACTATGTCTTAAAAAAAAAGAATGGCAATAAAGTACTTATAACTGAAGATTCAGACACTATTTGTAAACTTAAATACAAATAATTTCCACAGTAGCTGGGAAGGCATAAATGGAAAGTAATATGATTTTAGAAAGATTCCAGCATTATTAAAAAATAAACAATGCCTTTGAAAGATATTTATCTAGAAGACTGCATAAACTTTCCTACTTGGCTAAAGGTCATTTTATAGAGCAAACAGCCACTATCACCCCTATATGATCTGTTGTACTCACACCGGATAACATTTCAGGAAAGTTACATCTAGGATTAATATGGATATATGGTGTTTTTCTTTCTGCAAAAGCTCTTTTGGTATTACACAGCTTAAATTTAATATGCTAAACTTTAAATTCATTTTTATTCATGTTCATGTTTTAGAAATAGGCTTTAAACCAATATTGGGATAAATATAAATGGTAGTGTATCATCTCATTAACATGACTTGCAATTTGTAAGGTATCAGTTGGACAGGAGATAGACGAAACAATGTTTGGATTCATTTTTGAAAAAATCTTTTAAGGAATTTTTTGGAAAAAATCTCAACCTTGGATGGATTCTTGTAAGATGGAGCATATATATTTATCACCCCTCTCTCCCATAAAATGACAAAGAACATATCAAAAAGGTAGAATCTATACCTAAAAGAAAAGGAAAACAGGATATTCATGAACATGAGATTTCAACATATTTTTCTGCAACATGAAAAGTAGACAGAGGAGTGGTTACTAATGAAAAAGAAGGATAGTCTGGAATCGTATAGAGAGAAAAGCAGAAGCTTATGTATCTTGCATAAACCTTGAGAGGCTTGGAACTCCAAAACATAGGATATGGAAGAGAGAAATTCAGAGTGAAATGAGCAAAAGAATGAGGATATTAACATCTCTGGGTCACTGTTTCCTTCCCTATACAGTAACAATAAAAATATCACCCTTTTATGATTTTTATGAGAATTAAACAATGTATATATGCATATGTAACAATAGACCACAACCTCCCCCCTCAACATATATACATCACGTATCTAGAATGCTTAGGCATGTACCCCAACCCCACTCCCTCACCCAGGCAAATTGAAGAAGCATTTTAGCTAAAGAAATTGAATGACACTAGAGAAAAACTCCCTGCCACCACCCTCCTAACATTTACAATTGGTCCAGCATAAAGGCTGTCAAACCAATCACCTCAAAGCAAGGACCACCAGCGCAATATGGTGCACAAATCTGTAAGTCACTTTTTATTGCCTCAAAGATCCAATGTTCAAGCATTAAAGTGTAGATGAAACACTTGCATAGCAATTACTTGATTTATTTTTCCTGATTTCACCCGGTATCTTGTCAATAAAAGTTAGTTTTAATCTTAATTTAAATAGATATAATTATAAAATCTTGTACTATACATATTACATATTTGAGGCATTTATCTATAGTAGGTACTCATCAAAGTTCTGCTATACACAAATATGGTAAGAAGGTGCATCTTCTTCTCAACTTGTACCTTTTCAGTCTACTTGGAACCCCCTAGGGGCTACCAAGAACCTCCTAAGGCAGTGTTTCTTAAACTTGGATTATGAGTATTCAATGAACAGCAAATCAAAACAAAACAAAAGCAATGAGATAATGTAAAAACGACATTATGAACTAATTTGAAGGAAGCTCCTATTGGCTAAACCTGGAACATCAAAATAAAAATGACAGTAATGAATTAACTGTCCCTTGGTATTTGCAGTGGACTGGTAAAATGGCAGAGTATACATCCTCCTGTATCTTTAAATCATATCCTGATTACTTACAATACCCAATACAATGTAAGTGCTATAGAAACAGTTGTTATACTGTATTTTAAAATTTGTATTATTTATTATATTGTTGTTTTCTATTTTTTCTCAAATATTTTCAATTGTTGGATGACTCTGTGCATGCAGATCCACAAATACGGAGGACCAACTGTATAATCCACTACATAAAAAAAGAATCCATGAGTCTATACTCATGATAATCAATAAAAACATAAATAAAGGGAAGAAAAACTCTTTTTAAGAGTGGAATTCTAATTAAAGAAGATAGAAAGAATGATGTGGTTAAAAAAAATTATCATTTTACCATCAGAGAAAGAATAATTAAGGCAAGAATTATCAATGGATGTTGTTTAATCTGGAGTTTGACGAAGAATGGAATACTTACAGAATCCCAAAGTATCTTTCCACATATCAATCATTAATTACAAGAAAAAATAAAGAAATAAGACAAAACATTAACCGAATGATGCAAATGAACATTTACCAATAAGAGGCAAATGCACATCATGTGCCTCCAGACGTGATCCCCTGAGGACATATCAATCATATAGTAGTCCAGACAAAAACCCACAATCTCAGTTTAATAGGGAATATCAGAGAAACTCAAATGTAGTCTGTAAAATAAAAGAATTTTTTTCCTTCAAAAATGCCAATGCCAGGTTGGGAATGGTGGCTCATGTCTCTGATCCCAGTGCTTTGGAAGAGCAAGGCCAAGAAGAGTGCTTGCAGCCAGGCTGGGCAACACAGAGAGCTCGTCTCTCTCTAATATATTAAAAAATTAGGTGAGTGTGGTGGCACTCACCTGTAGTCCTAGCTACTCAGGAGGCTGAGGCAGGAGGATCACTTGAGGCTAGGAATTGGAGGTTCCAGTGAACTAAGATTACACTACTGCATTTCAGCCTGAGTGATGGAGCAACTCTGTCCTTAAAAAATAAATAAATAATGCTAATGCCATAAAAAAAAAAGTAGAAGAAAAGTTTTGGATTAAGAGACTAAAAACATACCACCGAAGTGCAGTATGTCAACAGGATTGGAAAAAAATTGCTATATAGCACATTATTGAGATATATAAGAAACTAGACATATGGGCTAAAGACTAGATAAAAATAGGTGTCACAGCTATCGATATTAAATTTCCTAAATTTGCTAACTGTGAAATGGCTATACAGAAGTATATCCTCATTCTTAAGAAACACACACTGAAGTGTGATGGGGTGATGTATGCAACCTATTCCAAAATGGTTCAGCAAAACAGTAAAATCTATGTCTATATGATAGAATAATAAGGTAATGTGGCAAAATGTTAAAATTTGTAAACCTGGCTATAAAGTATTCAAGGGTTACTTTTATTCTTTTTACAACCTTTTCTGTAACAACGAATCTCCTAGATGTGGAATCCAGGCACGTAAATTTGAAAAAATGTGTGTCTGAGTTTGTGTATTCAGTTTAAGAATTGCTGCCTTAGGGCTCAGTGTAATACAGACTAAAAACCATTACTAAAGAGACAAATACTCAGCATCACAGTATAAGAGCTGCAGGAAACCTACTATTAGAAATCATCAAAATTTTAGTACGAATTATTTTTGCCATTTTTGATAAGAATTTCCTATTTTAAAGGGCAGAGACATTCTTTTTTTATTCTAACAAAGTAGAATAAAAAATCCCTTTAATTATTTCTTGTGTATGGAGATTTAAGCCTTAGAATGAATTCCTGGCTCTGTTCCCTCCTTTTGTACATAATATTATACATACAATATTTATTTACATACTATTTAATAATATAAACATTAAACAATATTATTTTGTGCTACAAACCATTAATTAAATATTTCCTCTTTGCCAAGCACTCTGTTAAGTTTGTTGTTCTCATTTCAACCCTCACAACAACCAATAGGTAGGTGTTATTATGCTAAATTTACAGTTAAGGAAATAGTGGTTCAGAGAGTTAATTTAAGCAAATTTGCTAGAGATTTCACAGCTGGAAAAATGGAAGATTTAGGATTCAAACTCAGGTCTGAGTCCAAAGCTTTTATTCTTAACCCACAAACCATATTTCCAGAACTGTTGGAGCCCATGGATGGCAAAGGCAATTTACCATCTGTTTCTTCATCACTGGTTCTCATCTCTTTTTACCCCAGTCACTGTTTATTACCTCCATGGTTGCCCCCAGCTGCAGCTACTCTTTCAGGGTACTACGGTTCTTGTGGAAAGCACATAGGCTTTGATATGAAAAAAGATCAGGATCAAACCCTAACATGGAATCTGATTAGCCTATAATCTCTGATCCTCATTTTTCTCATTAGTAAAATAATGGATAACAATTCTTATTCTGTGGAACTTGGTGGGGATAAAATTTATGGAACTTAACCCATAGTAGGTAGAGTTTGCAATAAAAGGTAGTTTTGTACTCATCCCTCTTACCGTCTTTAAATAATAACTATCATTTAGGTTCCTTCATTTCAAATTACACCTGACTTCTGTGGATTTAATGACCTGAGTAGTCTTAATCCTGGTCCTAAATTTCATTAATTTAGGATCTGTGAAATTTGGAAAGATGCCCTTTGCTGGGGGAAAGAAATAACAACTAGTAAACGTGTATATAAAGGAAACAGAAGCTGATTTTGCTTAGGCTGATACACTATATATAAAAAAGTATGGCAGAAAAGGTCAAATACTTAGTCATTAGTGATAACAGAATTAGGCACTATCATCGTCTTTAGTCACTACCAATATGTTTCTAGAAATGATAACATTAAGAATTCTTGAGAAGAGTCATGTCAAAGGTCCATTTGGATGTACCACAAAACATGACTGTCAACTGACAAAAAGAAATTTCCACTACAAATCTTTGTAACACCTTCAAATTCTTAGTAATTTGAATTAGTAAGTGTTTTATACATAGCATGCTAATGTTTTAGACCTTTGGAATTCATGCATCAGTTGTTGAGGTCACTATTTTAAAGCATATCTCTTGATTATACTATAATATTTACTCAAACATATGTCCATTCAGATAACATTGGAATTCACTATCACATTAAACTTTTGTCCAATTTTATTTTAAAGTTTGTTTATTAAAAGAAATGAACATTTAAAATATATGTTTAAAATATATGCTTATAGATTTAAATTATACAAGGTAGTCCTT